AAACCCTGTGGGGGTTGCTATGAGTCAGAATCAACTCAGTGGCAGTGGGTTTGGTTTTGGTTTGATGTAAGCACTTTGAACAAGTGAGAGTTGTATAAATCTTGAATATTTGTGGAGCCTATTCTGCAAGATGTCATTTTGCTAATTGTTCAGTTAAGATAATTATTGTTTGCTAATTGATAAGTTACATTCTCTTATAAAGGCAAAAGAGTGAAAGGTAAAAACTGATTTGTCCTGAAATTTGTGTTTGTAGGAAATGTGCTATGTATGTTTACAACGAGCACAACGAAACTCCCCATTGTACTATGGTGAGGAGAGGAAGAGGAGGGAGATAGAAGATGAGCGACTCATACAGCAGTATCAGATGTTGAAAGAGCAAGAGGCTCTCTTCAAACAGAAGGTATTCCAGCACCTCCATTAAAGAGTGCTTACCTTGAGAAAAGAAGTAGGATGTGATGATTATAAAATGTTCTGTCATATGGCTATACTATGACATATTAATCATTTACTTACTGCTGGGCTCAAACTTAGGTTGTGTCCACAATTTCACTATTAATAAACACTTTTTTTTTCTTTCTTTTTTTTTGGTAATAGATGAAAAGTCTGGCTGCTAGAGAACAGAATCAGAAAAATGCTGCCTATAATCTTGGAGTTGCTGAAGCTATACGAAACCACAAGAATGAAAAACCTGAATTTTATGTAAGAACCCTTTAAAAATACCTATGCTAATGACTACCCTATTTGTGAGCACATGGATTCATTCCTTGCACTGCAATTTATTAAGAGGCAGAGTTGAAAAGTGGGTTGTGCAAGGTTGAAGCTTCCTTCTAAGGCAGAGGTTTTCTGTCTAGTATCTGTTTAATATCCCCACTGTTCACATTCACATTACACAGTCTATTAGTCACCTCAGCTCTAATTATATATAGTCATTCTCCACCAGAAACTGGGGTAGGTGGTGTGGTGGTGGTGTTGGGGCAGCATACCAAATCCTGCCCTGGGAACAATGATCTAAATAAAGAGAAGAGCTGAAGAACCTTCAAAATGTGATCTGTGGACCAGCTGCACTGGCATCACCAGCTTGCTAGAAATGCAGAATTAAGGGCCCCACTCCTCGGAAGGAAGATGGGGCCATCTACTTCCGTAGCAATACTGCTTCGGAAACCCAAGAAGGGGTCACTGTGAGTCGGGTCCAACTCGGTGGCACATAACAACAACACAGTCTCAAATGGGAATCTGCATTTTAATAAGATCCCCAGGTGATTTGTGTGCACATTAAAGCTTAAGAAGCTCTGCTGCATATGGAGATGAGCCAACTGCTTCACCATTTATCATTTTCAACCGTTATATGCCTACCTTTATTCTGCCTGAATCTTTCTTCCCTTATACCGCTATTTAGGTTTATGACATTTTGGCCATAAATCTAATAACATGTATTTTATTTGTTCATCAACAAACATTCATTGAACTTTTTCTGGTGCTTGTTGTTGTTGTTGTTGTTGTGTGCCGTCGAGTCGGCCTCGACTCATAG